GAGGGGGAGGTTGTTTTGTTTGTACCAGTTTCACTGATCATATGAGTACTATTGAAGGAAACGAGGACCATGAAAAGCTCTGACCAACACTTTCAGTTTGGTTCTTCTATGGATCCTCATTACTTCATCTTCATGTTGAAGCTAAACAAACTGGGAAAATTGATTTACCCTGAGGTGTGAAACTAGTTGCTACAATCAGACTGAATTAGGAATAAGAAGTTCTCTCTGCTCTGTCTCAGGTTTTGGCAGGCAAGGGCCGTTGAGAGTTTTTTACGAGGCACCACTTCCTATGCGGACCAGATCTTTCTGCTAAAGAGAGGACTTTTGGAGGTGACCTTCATATTTTCTTTAGCCCAAGTGCCTCACTAAACAACACAGCCCACATGAAGCCTCAGGCAGCGGCAGCAGGCGAGGGGCTTTCCTAGCCCACTGCAGCCACCGGCATGCTGGGAGAGAGGGAGCAGATTAGCTGTGACTACTAGTCTCTCCTCACCCCTTCCCCTCCCCTGCTCTTCCCTACCTGCCCTGCCACCTTCCTGTTCCTATTACGCTGCCTTCCTGTTCCTGAGGCGCTGCGCCACTTCTCTTCCATGCCAGACTGCTCCCTGTGCTAAACATTAACCGGTAATGCATTACCAATATAAATATACTTCTTGTTTAAAAATTTAACCTTTCATATCCATAGTAACAAACTCAATGGGAGTTCTCAAATGTTGTTAAATTATTGATAATAGGAATCTAAATACTATACAGGGTCATAGTAACTAGATTTTGGTTAGATTTAAAACTGATTTTCTGAGTGGTTTGGATCTTAGGTTTAAATCTCTCATGCTCTGGAGACTGCTGTTGAAAAATTCCAAAATGCTTCTCTAATTTTATCATGTCAGAATCAAACAAGGAAAAACTTTTGAAGCAGAAGCTTGACTACAAGCATTAGACTTTGTTTACTAGTGACTTGAGCTAAAATGTGGAGCTAATATGCTTTCTTCTTTCGCCAGCATATTCTCTATTGCATTGTTGACAGCGAATGCAAATCACGGGACGTGCTTCAGAGTTACTTTGACCTTCTGGGAGAATTGATGAAATTCAATATTGATGCGTTCAAGAGGTTCAACAAATACATCAACACAGATGAGAAGGTAAACCTGAAGAAACTTGTGCTGTGGGCCAAATGCCAGTCTGACATAACTGGTTACAGTGTGGGGTTAATTTGATACTCTGGGTCTGACTGAGGTATAGTAGATGGATAAAATGTAACGTAGCTGTTGTGCCTCTGTTTACAAGCACTACAGCAGGGGTCTCCAACCTTTTTGAATGTTGGGCCAGATCACGAACTTTTTATCACCCAGTGGGCCAGCGAGCCATATTCAAAGACCTCACAGGAAGTGACATCACATCAGGAAGTGATGTCACGTGACCTTTGACACCAATGAAGTTGCAGGAAGTGACAGTGAAATGGGTCTAAATAACCAGTTCAAAACTCTCCCGCTATAGCATCCACCTCTGCCACTGTTTGGGACAGGACACTGAGCTAGATGGATCATGGGGCTGACCAAGCATGGCACTTTTTATGCTCTTATGTTCAGAAGCTCTTATGTTCTTTGGCTGAGCTTCCAAACTATGGCTGAGATTTGCAAAAAGGGGTAGATAGGCATGTTACAAAGTTGTCATAAAAGATTTGGAGCCCTCTAAATCCCATTCATTTTAATGGAAGTTGGC